GCCAACGAACAGGCGGCGCCCAGCCTACTGGTGGAACGAGGAAATTAGCACCCTCCGTGCTACTTGTCTTCTAGCCAGAAGGCGTGCTCAGAGAGCAAGAACAGAAGCAGACAGAGAGGAGCGCAGGGTGGTGTTCCGAGAGGCCAGGGCTGCACTGAAACGAAAGATAAAGCTGAGCAAGTCAAATAGTTTCAAGGAGTTGTGCCGCGATGCCGATGCCAACCCCTGGGGCAACGCATACCGAGTTGCGATGGCGAAGATCAGAGGCCCAACGATGCCGGTTGAAATGTGTCACAACAAGCTGAAAGTCATCGTGGAGGGACTTTTCCCACAGCATGACCCAACGAACTGGCCACCTACACCATATGGCGAGGTAGATGAAGACAACGTTGAACAAGTCTCCAACGAGGAACTCATAGCAGCAGCGAAAGGGTTGAAAGCGAATAAAGCTCCCGGCCCGGATGGAATTCCCAACGTGGCGTTGAAGGCGGCGATCCAGACGTTCCCGGACATGTTCAGGATGGTGCTGCAGAAATGTCTGGACGATGGTCAGTTCCCTGATAGGTGGAAGGTACAAAAGCTTGTGCTGTTGCCGAAGCCCGGAAAACCGCCGGGGGATCCTGCATCGTATAGGCCAATATGCTTGCTGGATACTGTAGGAAAGCTCTTAGAGAGGATCATCCTCAACAGGCTGACGAAATGCACGGAGAGTGAACACGGATTGTCGGAGAGACAGTTTGGATTCCGGAAAGGGAGATCGACGGTGGATGCAATTCGGACAGTGATTGACAGAGCCGAGAAAGCTTCCAAACAGAAGCGGAGAGGAAATCGATACTGCGCCGTGATTACGATCGATGTCAAGAATGCATTCAATAGCGCCAGCTGGGAGGCCATCGCCAAGGCGCTCCATAGAATGAGGGTTCCAGGCTACCTCTGCAGGATTCTAAGTAGTTATTTCCAGAACCGGGTCCTTGTCTACGTGACAGACACGGGGCAGAAATCGCTTAGAATCACGGCGGGGGTTCCCCAAGGCTCCATTCTAGGTCCCACGCTGTGGAACGGAATGTACAATGGCGTGCTGACGCTCAAGCTGCCCAAAGGAGTTGAGATCGTTGGCTTTGCGGACGATGTCGTCTTGACGGTAACCGGTGAGACGCTGGAAGAAGTGGAAATGTTGGCGGCTGAGGCGATAGATACGATTGGTAACTGGATGCAAGGAGCGAAGCTGCAGATAGCCCACCACAAAACAGAAGTGATGTTGGTCAGTAACTGCAAAGCAGTGCAGCGGGCAGAAATTACCGTTGGAGAGCACACCATTGCTTCGAAGCGCATGCTTAAGTATCTGGGAGTGATGATCGACGACCGGCTAAACTTTAATAGCCACATCGAATATGCTTGCGAGAAGGCGACGAAGGTCATCAACGCAATAGCCAGAATCATGCCGAACAATTCTGGTCCAAGCAGCAGCAAGAGACGTCTTCTGGCTAGTGTTTCCTCATCAATACTAAGGTACGGAGGTCCAGCCTGGATTGAAGCGCTGAAAACGAAGCAGAACCAAAGGAAATTGAGCAGTACGTTCCGGCTCATGGCCATGCGAGTCGTGAGTGCGTACAGAACCATTTCGTTGGAGGCAGTATGCGTTATCGCCGGTATGATCCCAATCGGCATCACCTTGGCGGAGGACTACGAGTGCTATATGACGAGAGAAACCAGAGGAGTACGAAAAATGGTGAGAACGGAGTCGATGGCTAAGTGGCAGCAGGAGTGGGATGCAGCAGAGAACGGTAGATGGACACACAGGCTAATACCGACTCTTTCGACCTGGGTGAACAGGAAGCATGGAGAAGTCAACTTCCACTTGACGCAGTTCCTGTCTGGTCATGGCTGCTTCAGGAAGTACCTGCATCGGTTCGGACACACAACGTCACCCTTCTGTCCGGAGTGTGGGAATGTGGAAGAATCACCAGAGCACGTGGTCTTCGAATGTCCTAGATTTGATGATGTGCGAGAGGATATGCTCGCCCTTAGCACGGAGAATGTCGTCGAAGAAATGTGTCGAGAGGAGGGCACCTTTAACGCCGTCAGCAGAGCAGTAACGCAGATCATGTCAGCGCTGCAGCGAAAATGGCGGGAAGACCAACTAGAAAGTAGTAATGTGCTCACACAAGTGCGAACTGAAAGCCGAAGCCGGGAGAACTCTCCGTCAGAGTAGGCTGTATCCACCACCAGGGATAACCGAGTAGAACGTGACGCTGGGAGATAAATGGCTCACAAATTGGAGAGACGATCAGCGAACTGGAAGCGCCAATTAGCTGAGGTAAAGTGAGGTGCGTAATGCACGGCCCCCTCCGAAGTAATACGACAAGTGGTTCCGGGGGAAAAGGGCAAGGCGTCTAAGGAGGTTTTAGTGCGGTAAGAATCCCACACACCGTGTCACCGCGACTGTGCGCCCAGTCGTCAAGCGGTGGCACGATGGCCTTTTTGAAGGTTTCCTCCTTGCCAAAAAAAAAAAAAAAAAAAAAAAAAAAACACACATACATACATACATACATACATACATACATACATACATACATATATATATATACATACAGAAACATTTTCCGATCCCGTTGAGATGAGTCTATTGCAATATGCCATGCAATATGTCTCTCCGGGTCTTGGAACGAAATTGTGTTTTTCAAATGATATTATAGCCTTTCGGTACAACTTGGTTTACGAGAAACGCAAAAAGGTTGGTATCAGCTTGATATATCTTATTTTAAAACTGTATTTATAAAATCGTTACAACAGTGTTAGTGTTTAGCGCCAATTTATCATACCTGGCTTCGTTGTACAGTACTCTCCATTTTTCGATGATCTTTATTTCGATTTCCTTCCTATCTGATTCAGTGCTGCAAAATCTCAACAATACACGATGATATTGACTATTTTACTTTGGTCACTAATTTGAGCCAACAGTCACAGTCAAGGCAAACGATGTCAATTGTCAATGACAATGCTGTCAGTAACGAAGATGTGTAGATTTTTTTTATTATCTAAATTTGTAACGAAATAAGGTGACTTGAGCAACACAATTACAAATCAGACTCAGAATGCACGAAATTACACTTTTTGTTAGTAGGTGAATCTTTGTCATTGACGAAAAAAATAATGATATTTTGCCAGTTTTTTTTTTGAGAATCAAGTCCGTCAGTGACTATGTGATGAATAATTTTGTTAATATCGCGCGAAAGTCTGTCAATGACAATGTCAAATCTCAGCACTGATCCTGACTCATCAACACTTTTTGAGCATGGAGTGTTTAGAATCGTATTAATAAGCTTATAAATTGCTCTTTTGATTGTCGATTTCTCCATATTCAGGTGGTGAAAAGTTGAATCTCTCACTAAGATGTGCTCTTTCCCCCGCTGTTGGCGTGCAAAAGGACCAGTACTACGTAACTAACGGATTTCCACACTACATGGCATATACAATCGACTCAAATTTAAGTTTAAATTACTCAAACTCTAGAAAACGTGGTTTACTTTGAGACTAAGTAAAATTTCCGAGCCTCATAAATCTTTTCGAATATGAAAAAAATCGACGAAAAATCTACTCATTCTTGAAGTATACAGTCAAAGAATAAATCATATATCCAATGCGCTTTCATGTGATATCATAATTGGGAATTGCTCCACAAAATCACATGAACCCAAGGGGTAAGTCACTCAGCACTTTGTGCCGAAATTAGATTCGGCACAGCTTGGGCACATCCATCGGCAAACGTTTGCTACAATCTCGTAGGCATTGGATTGTTGTAAATAAAATGGGAGCACTGCTGGACAACTGTCATTGAAGTTGTTCAAAACAAGTGCTGTTTGACTGTATATTCAGGAACATCCTCTAATTAAATATATATGAGGAGCTCAGACCAGCAGTTCACTTATAGATTTAAATTCGAAATGAAGGTTCTAGAGTGGACTCAAGAGAAAGGAGTGGTTAATCAGACCTAATTAATTCCCTTAATTCCTTGCTTGATTCAAGTGATGCTGCAACTAACACAAAACAAACTACAAAAGCCTATTCATCATCCTCTATAGTCGGTCTCTAACGATGTTCACTACTGGTTCCAACTCTTTCCGGCCGCTAATAGACCGTTGCTTTTCACATCACTAAAGGCTAGGGTTTTGGTCTGCATTTGAGGGCATTATCTCGGGCATTATAAAACCCTAAAACACAGGACTTTTATTATCCTATGAACACAAAACACCAACATTTCGCACACCCGCCACTTCCCGCGGCATCCTCAATCCGATTTATCCTTTCGATTTCAAACCAAAACATTCAAGGTGTCAGAAATACCGAAATACCGGGTTGCCGGGATGGGTATTTTACAAACAATCGCAGCTTGCTCTATGACCGGCACAATCGGCAAACTTGCGGCACACTGACAAAAAATATGACTCAAGATAGATGTGTAGGTGTGTGCTAATAGTTTGACAAAATGTAATGCATCTAATCTAATCTAATATCATTTGATTCCGGAAAATAGTACTTCCGGGAGCAATTTGTCCGAGAAATGGTCTACCGCTAAATAGATTTCTGATCAATGGGTTTCCGGCTAATGTCGTAGAATCAACAAAGGCCGAGATTTGCAATGTTGTTCATGATTTCTGGATAATTTCTGAGCTCCACGGAATGTTGTGGAGTTGCAGAATTTCAGTGAAGAGCACAGAGCATGAAATAATCTTATATGTGATTTACTCGTTAACTTTTTCGTATCACCCTAACAATCATCATGCAGTCAACAACAGAACCAACCCCGATGGATGGTCGGTGTAAGAGCTCTCAACAAGTGCATAAATATTTCAACTTTAATCTGTTTGGTATCATCAACGCGCTTTATCAGTGTGCCACCAGATGAGCGAATCGTGCCATGTAATGAAAGCCAACCCTCCTCACTCACTCTTCGTTACAGTGAGAGCGCGTGGTGTGGCACATAAACCGTAGCAAACGAACCAAAAACAAAAAAATCATTGAACAAACATAGGAATTAGATATAACCATACAGTCGGTTGCCGTGTGTCTGAAAACAAGCCTCAAGCACAAATCCGTTGCAGGTAACCAGCCAAAAGAGTTTTAGAAAGTGTTCAGCCGTCTACCTGGGCAGCTCATAGTTGCGACCATCAGCTGCTGTGTGTAGTGTGACCTTTGTAACGCTTTGCGGTAAATTTGTGATTCATACACGATCCGAAATATATAATCATCACGCTTATCACCCCCAAATTGAGTTCGATTTGTTTTCGTTATTTTTTTTCACTTTCAGCCTTCGTCAGTTGAATCGATATTTCACAGCTCAGTTGCAGTAAACGCCTCGTAGCAATTATGTGCATCCTCTTCATCTACGTGAACAACAACGGAGAACCGGTTCCGGGGGAATACAAACTGGTGCTAGCATCGAACCGGGATGAGTACTACACCCGGCCAGCTAAACCGGCAGCCCCCTGGGAGGAGAGTCCATTTGTGATTGGCGGACGGGATATGGAACCGGGTCGGGAGGGCGGTACCTGGTTGGCGATCAGTGGCCAGGATGGAATGGTCAAAATTGGAGCTCTGTTGAATGTCACCGGTGAGAATAAGGCAAACGTAACCCTCGGCAGGGGTCCCATAGTGGCCAACTACCTGGTGGGATCGCAATCCAATGACGAGTATTCAAAGCAGCTGCTGGCAAACGATAACTATGGTCCATTCAACCTGGTTTCGGTTCAAATTGATACCTCTGGCAGCGGCGGCGGGGATGTGTCGGTGTTGCACACCAGCAATGCTCCGTGTAAGATCGACCCGTGTGACCTGGAGGGGCCACTCGGGTTCGGTAACAGCACCCTGGAGGTGCCGCTGCAGAAGGTGAAGCACGGTCGGAAGCAGTTCGGTGACATCGTTGACAAGCGACTGAAGCTGGAATCGAAGGAGCTGCTGATTGAGGAGTTGATGGATTTGCTCAAGAGCAATGAGAAGTGAGTATTGTTCGTATGGTCGCATCATGGTGGCGCACGGTCATTTGAGTAGAACGTGGATGATCAGGCATTTTAATAGGTTTGAATTACAGTGCCCGTTCGATTTTGTGAACGAAACCAATCGTTCGAGAGAAGTCATTGTTTACAAAAGCTGTTACGCGTCAATTCCAGCTCTAGCTAGAATTGTTCCTAAATCTCGTTAACAGCTTATAAACCCGTTGTGCCCCATTTGTTTGCGCTTTTTCGGGACTCGCATTTTGATGATTTTGTAAAAAAAAAGCACTTAGCGCACAAAAACTTGTTGAGCAGCATCGATGAACAGCTGATAAACTTCATCGGGGTAGAAATAGCCTAGAGCCTCCTTTATCCCTTTATAGAATAAACGTTCTGACTGATGTCGTTTTCGTTTTTGCTACGCTACACCGGTGTAGTGTAAGCAGCAATAAGCGCGAGTCATTGACAGCTCATCATATTTTTTTTTGTAAACAAAGGTGCAACCGATAGCTACACCCTGAATTTCCGGAGTGATTCGAGATTTGGGCGTAATTACTTTTGTAAACAAACGCGCCAATCACTGATGTCTCGCGAACAAACTATTCCAAATGATTGTGTTGTTAGTTTTCTAGGCTGAGTTTTTAGTCGCGATAAATCGGTGATTAAAGTGTTTGTTTACAAAAGCAATTACGCCCAAATCTCAAATCATTCCGGATTTGTTCAGTGTTGGGCGATGTAGCACCGGTGTAGTTACAACCTGGGACGGGAGTTGACAATGGGGTAGCGATTTAGGCTCTGAACCATTTGGCGATTTTTTTTAACTTTTGGTTAAAATTTGACAGATGGAAAGTTATCGATTAACCCTGCTATCCGAGCATGGTTATTTCTGACAGACAATAAGTTAAATTTTGACGACCATGGCTCGAAAACCGGTCGATCGACAGCACGGGATTTTCGAACATCAGAAATAACTTTCGAAATGTCACTTTTAACTACGAGTTAAATTTAACTCGGCAAATGGTTCACAGCCTTAGAGCCAATTTTCTGTCAAATCCGAGCCAGTGGCTGATTGGTCGATTTGACAGTAGCAATCGTAGAATAAACAGGACAGAGGGATCACAGTAATCTGACTGGCAGTGATGCCGGAATCAATGTTGACGTCAATGGTGTTGTTAATTATTTACATTTGCCAAAAATGAAAGTTGAAAAATTGAGTTCACTGCGTGTTTCAACCGATGGATATTGTTGTCAGTTTATGGTTGTTTTTATTGTGATGAGCAAAACTTATATCCAAGGAGCTAAACTGCGGTAGAAACTCCGAATCGAACCCAAAATTAAATATAAAAACATTCTGCAATCCTGGCATGATTACTCAACTCCGTCAAACACCACGCACAAATATACGAAGGGCCTTCATCAAAACCATTAAGGCTATGAACCATTTGCCGAGTTAACTTTAACTCGTGGTTAAAAGTGATATTTCGAAAGTTATTTTCTATGTTCGAAAATCCCTGTGCTGTCGTTCGACCGGTTTTCGAGAATAACTTAGCCAAGGTTGTCAAAATTTAACTTCTTGTCTGTCAGAAGTAACCACGGTCGGATAGCAGGGTTAATCGATAACTTTCCATCTGTCAAATTTTAACACACGGCGGATGAGAACGACCCAAATTTGAGTTTAGTTCACTCATAATCGCCAAAAGTGCAGGAACTCAGCGATGAGTAAATTTGCATCATGTTTTCCAAGGTTTTTCCAGGATTTTCCAGGGAAAACTTCCCGAATTTGAGAAAAGTAAAGATTGGATTCACTCAGTCTATTGGTACTACTCCGAGACTGAATAAAATTTTCGTCAATTTCCTCATTTTCCGGCAGATTTTTTAGGTTTTCCACAGGAGACAAATTTTACTCATCGCTGAGTTCCTGCACTTTTGGCGATTATGAGTGAACTAAACTCAATTTTAGGTCGTTCTCATTCGCCGTGCAAAAGTAAAATAATCCACCAAATGGTTCAGAGCCTAAGTAGAGTGAGAAGCTCGATTGTCAAGTCCCGTTCCGGGTTACACCGCAAAAACGAAAACGACATGAGCTACTGACGGAGTGCTCGGCTGTCAGTCACCTGCTTACTGCCCAATCATTCAGACTCTCACGAGGCAGTGAATGATGCGGCGGATGGCAGTTCATATTCATATGAAAATGACTCATTGAACCTGATGGTTTTGCGCACTGGTAAAAAATGGCGGCGAATTGAAAGAGTGCTTATACTTTCTGGGACACCCTATAGAATATTTATAACTAGAACTTGATTACCATAGGTACACACAATTTTTAAAGTTTCAATTAAATTCCCGGTTGATTTCGGTTCCCTGTTAATTCACGATATTCCCGGTTCAGTGGCCAACCAGGCATTTTAGCAAAACTGGTGGTAGAGGTAAGAGGGGCATAGTGAGCCTGAGCATCCTGCACTCCAATTAAAACAAATTAACTGGTACTAGGTTCAATATCACCATTGCAATGATTAATGACGAATTAATTTGTTTCGAACTCATAAGAAATCTAAAGCACAGGAAGCTCACAATGCTCCTCCTTCCCCTATATATATATATTTTCAAACGGGTTTGAATTTGATAAACCACACTCATCAGGACAGGATACTCGCCAACCCTCCTCCCCCCGTCAACCGTCCACGATGTTTGTAGGACTATTATTGCTATGCTCCAAGTTAAATAAAATCAAATTCCGAAAATATCAACTCTACAACCGCTAACCCAATCAACCTCGTTCCGCTTGCAGACACCTTCCAGACAAGGAACTGTCCCGTCGGGTGCCCGAGTTCACCGAAAAACTGGCCAGCATCAACGTGTACTTCCCGGAGTCGGGCTACGGGAGCCGTACCCGCACAATCATTCTAATCGATCACGAAAATCGAATGGACTTCATCGAGGAGACGATGGTTTCGGCCGATCCGGACGGCGAATGGAACCGAACCTGCCTTCAGCGGCAGTTCTAGTAGTGGCGGACTTTAGTCATCCAAAATCAAGGGCTTTCGAACCAAGGACCAAGCATACGCTGGATAGAACTTTCTCATAGGTAATAGCAGCTGTTTATATTTCAAGAGTGAGGTATTTACATTCGGAATCGCCTTCTCGCATGTTAGTATAATAACGGTATGTACTGTTTCCTATTTCCATAACAGTATAGTAATGATAAATTCAGTTACTTGCATCAACTGAGAGTTCAAGATTCAAGAAAGAACTTCCCTCCGAGCCTTACTTGCGCTTGGAACCGGCTTTGTTTACAAGACGGCTCTTTGCTCCGGCTGCAGCCCCCTTCCGGGCGCCCTTCACAATGCTCTTGAACTGACCGGCGTTCTTGGCTCGTTTTCTGCAATCAACAAGGTAAGTTAATCCTTTGAAACAATATTTCAAGACAAACACAAACTCACCTCCTATTCAGCGAATTTCTGCTCAGAGGCACATAGGCATACGGTTCGTGTTTGCCCTTCTTCAGCATGTCTCCCTGGGCCTTCTTGGACTTGTACTCGGTACCGCTCGAAACGTACGTCTTGGCGCTCTTGTTTGACTTGGTCGACTTGCTACTGTAGCCGGACTTAACCGATGCTGCCACCGGTCGATGGATACCTTTTCCACCGGCCACATACCGACCGCTGCTGGCACTCATTCCCGAGCGCATACTCATCGCTTCCATCGCCTTTCGCTTACGGGATGACGCCCCGTCGGCCTCTGCCTCAGCTCCCTCGTCGCCATCGCTGTCGCTTTCCTCCTCATCGTAAACCCGCTTCTTGGCCTTGTCCTTAAAGCCAACGTTCTCATCCGGATCCTCATCGGAATCGGAATAATCCTCGATGTCCTCGATGATCAACCGACCGTCCGAAGCCGTCGCAAATCCTCGGTTGGCATCCTTCTTTTTCCTGGGCTGCGAAGTGCCCGCCTCCGATTGGTCCATCGGTTGGGATGCTGAGGAAAATTATCGACATTAACTACAAATTACCAATTAGGTACCACACACCGCAACTCACTGGTAATTTTACTGATCGCATCCAAATCCGCCAAATCGACGATGTTCTCCGGCGACTCCTTAATGTAGGTATTCATCTTCTTCTTGGCCCTCTTATCGTCCTCCACACCGGAGTCGGAATCGGATTCCGAATCCTCTAGGATGTCGTCGATCGTCAGACTCTTCTTCTCCAAATGTCCCGCCAGGTCGGCATCGTCGTCATCCTCATCACTGTCCCGGTGGCCACTCTTATTTTTCTTCTTCTGCTCGTCCAACTTGTTCCGCTTAGCCCTGGCCAGTTCCTTGCGAATCTTCTTCAGCCGCTTGTGGGTGACTTCATCATTTCCCGGAACCAGTTTGACGATTTCCTCCGGGCCGAATCGCTTGCACAGCCGCTTCAGGGTGTATCCCACCAGCAGCCGGCAGTGACGCTTCGTGTCCGGAACCATCTGCGAGAGGGCTTTGGTCTGCAATGAAAATAATCGTTAATAAATCCCGGAACATGAAATGACAACAAATCACTTGACTCACTATCAACGGCAGATCGCTGGTGACCAGAGGGACCGGCAGGATCTTGATGTACAACAGCAGGAAGTTGATGGCGGCGTCCACTTCGGAGCGATTGTTCCCCACCATGATGGTCAGAATCTGTTCCAGCATGAATCGCAATGAATCCACCGTCAGAGCGCCGGTGAATAGTTGCAAAACGTTCTTCAGCACCCAGATGGTGTTGGTGACCAGGGTGGTGTCGCCGACCAAACCGGCGATGATCAGGTTTTCAAAGTTCTTGATTTTGCCTTCGTTCTGGAAGCAGTTATTTAAATCAGACAAGACAACGCAATGCGGTAGTGTATGTGGGACTTACATTGAACATGTTACCAATCAGCTCGATCAAATCGTTGGACAGGTTTTCGTGCTTGACCGATTCCACCGAGTAGGACGCGACTGCCTCCGGGACGGTGCGAGTGATGATTTTGTTGGTGAGTTTGATTCCCGGATTCTTTTCGATGAGCAGTTTTAGACATCTGGAAACGGAGAAATGCAGACGTATTTATTGGGCTCCGTTCGTCATAAAGTCGATTGGGTGATATTCTTTCGGTTAAGAGCATTGCTGTTCGGGCTGCTAGTTTGACAACTTTAGCCATTGCTATTTTATGTCGTTTTCATTTTTGCGGTGTAGCACTGGTGTAGTGTATAAGCAGGAATAAGCACGAGTCTTTGACAGCTCAACATCATTTGTTTGTAAACAAAGGTGCATCCTATATCTACACCCTAAAATATTTCGGTGTACGGCAGTGTAGCACCGGTGTAGCTACACCGCAAAAACGAAAACGACATTAGTTAGCAACTTGTTTACGCACCGGCCGCCGGCCGTTGATATCACGATTGTGAATTTACGTTTTCGGCTTTCGCACCGATTGGCAAATCAAAGTTGGCACTCGTGGAGAATAGAAGAACTATAACAGTGATGATGGTTTCAAAATTTTCCACGGGGAAGTATACGAATGCAATCTTAAAATGCTTTTATTTTGCAAATGGAACATTTTATTTAAATCTGGTTGCTGCTACAGTGGTAGAAAAGCTCAAATCTATGTGTACACCTAAAAATCTGAACAGAAATTAATTTTTCTGTATTATTTGTCTATTGAATAGTCCTTAAGTTTTCTACTAACAAAGCGTCAACCAGATTTAAATGAAATGCTCCATTTGCAAAATAAAAGCATTTTAAGATGGCACTCGTATACCTCGCCGTGTAAAATTTTGAAACCATCATCACTCTCATAGTTCTTCTATTCTCCACGAGTGCCAACTTTGATTTGCCAATAGTTGCTAAACTTATCGTCACAAACGAAGTGACAGACGGAGCGGCTCGAAATTTGATTTGACGCACTTACATTTGCAGTTTTCGAGTGTACCTCACGGCAACACTATCTACTCATATGTACTAGCTTAAAGTAGGAAGTACCGTATGTTATCTCTTTTTCTCTAACGAAAATTTAAAGGGAGAGCCTGTTGTCAAACAGCATGTCATTATGACGTTTAGTTGTTATCTGCTTTTCTTTTGTAAAACAAAAGATCATATGCCAAAATGATTAGGGGTGAACACATCGGGTTAACATTTGCTTAGAAGTAAACGATGTTGAGCTGTCAATGACTCGCGCTTGTTGCCGTTGTTGCTACAGATTTCTTCAGTCCGTGCTTCTAACCAAAGTCAGAGTCAACCGCGACCGAGAAGACATCGACAGAACTCCTCCGTAGCGGAACTGTATACGGTTTTCGGGGAGTCGGTGGATGGTGATAGGAAGGAGGACCTACTGCATTTGCAGGCATTGCTTGGAGTTTGTCGCGAGGCGGTGAAGTTCAGTGGGAAGGTGGTAAGTTTAGTTCAGCCATAACATTTGATAACGGCATAAAAGCATTTGTAAACAAACTTTCTAAGGTCCTTTACACGCGAACCAAAGTACGCCCACGCAAACCAACATCATCGCATAGGGGCAACTATCACTTTTCCGAAAGTGGTATTGGTATTCGCGTGTAAAGGGCCCTAGAAAGTTTATTTACAAATGCTTTTGTGCCGTTATCAAATTGATTTTGGATTCTGGATTCTGTATAATAAATTTTACTTTTTCAGGATAAACGACACATATTAGTGCAATGCGCTTGCTTGCTGGAAGATTGCACATACGAAGAAGCAAACGAATCAGCAAAAGTGGATTTTGTCTGGATTGGATGTGATCTGCTCCACCACAATTCGATTGTTGCGGCATTGGTCCCAGTCTGACGAGTTGGCGATCCGGGCGAAAGCAGTAGGGATCTACAACGATGTGTTCGATAACTCAACGGCGCTGCTGTATCGACTGTTCACTGTGTATCAGAAGCGGTCAGCGAAATTTTTCGCATCAGTTATATATAGAGAAGTGTAGCGAGATGGAAATGGCAGAATTATTCCACAAGAGTTTGTCTTATTTGAAAATAATTCTTAGCTTGGGTGAGGCTTCCAAGCAGTACATACAATTAGTGGAGATTCTTAGTAGGGTTAACTACCCCCTTTCCGGCCAATTAAGCACAACGCGCACTTAGTCTTTCTTAATCTAGCACAGTTTAGCATCAAACGAAATGTTATTATTACTGATGGCTTCCAAATTTATTTACCTTTCTGTACGTACCGTAAGATTTAATAAAGAGAAACCAATCGTTGAGATATTGTCAAAAGTCTAACACTGATTCTTGATGCCAAACTCGGCCTACGGATTCTAAATTCGGCCTAACGCATTGAATCGCCAATGAATTCACTTCGGCCTTTCGGATGAAGATAAAAATTGATTGAGCGCTTCTTCTTTGGTTTTTGTGAATTATGGGTGCAAAGCTTTATATAACGCATTCTCATTGACTTCGTTCGACAGCTAATTGACTAAAGTATCGTACCAAACCCACAATTGACTTCTTAACTCTGAAATCGTGGATTTATTTGATGTTTTCTGCTCGATAGGCCCAAAATGGGCGATTAGACCGAAGTAATTCTCTACCCTATTTTTGAAAGAATAGAATCTGAGCCAACGGCAAGTTCCGTGTGGATTTTGAGTAAGTATCTCAACTTTCAAAACAGCTCTGTTCTGGATATGAAAACGCTGAAATCCCTATCAGAGAAATTGAAAATCCTCAGTGGGAAATCCCCTCCGGATTAGATTTTGGTAGAAATCGTTATATTCATCACACTTCAACTGTGGATACATTTGGATCAAATTAAGCAGCATGCTTCGGAGGTAACCGAGCCGATCATTGAATTGTGCAAATCGTTGGTCAAATTCAGTAAATACTGCCCCAGGAATCAAGCCCAGATTTGCTCCCGCTGTGGAAGCTCCAGTTGGAATTTTGTGGATTACATGTGATTCGATACGAGAATTGCACCACACGAATCAACAACATTTCGTATGCCGGCAGAACTCGAACCACGGCTGGAAATCCGGTCCACCTTCATCTGGACGGAATAGCTATTTCCAAGGACAGTCATATATTGAACCTTAGTATGGAACATCTCCACAAACTGCAAACAGAAACACGGAAAGATTTGGACTTACTTCGTTTAAAAAGCTACAGTCTGCATTTCCCACACTGGTTCCTTTTTGGAGGGATAACCATCCTCCCCATGATCGGTATCATTATTTTCCTCAGCATTTTCTCCCGCAGAACAACAAATATCAAACTAGAGACGATGCCAAACACCAACGATCATCGTGGAAAATCGGAACCTGGAAAAAAACGTCGGAAACCTAAGTACATCTTCATTTGGATATACGATGCCCCTGGAGGTTCATCACTAAGGAGGGGCGAGTTAACGCCGGTGCCAACTGAATTGGCAAATTCCATCGTCGGTGCTTTCGTCAGCATCTAGGACGGATGCACAGAACGGCAACAGCAGCGAGCTTCATCAGCATTCCGCAATCGGGCGATCGATTGGACTCCGGATTTGCATAGTGGACACTTTTCGCGAGTGCTAGGTTCTCTGTAGGAATTATTGATTGAATAAAGTAGTGTTTAGGTAGCAGCAGTAGTGAGTAGATATTTTTTTAAAAATAACCTCCGACGCTCAAAACTTTAACTCGCGCAGCGAAACGAACCGACGGAGAATCGCAATTGCTGTGATCAAAGTGATTGGTGAGGCAGAAGGAAACAAGTCAGGTCTTTCATTATCACGACGTTCTTATGCATAATATAGTGTGACGTAACGTTGGGTCATGTGTAAGAACATCGTGAGAACAAAAAAGTCGACTACATTCCTTCTGCCGCACCTATAGCAACGCACACGGCTCCCGCACTGACTGTTTCTTACTTTCTCACTCTAATCAAAATTTCCTTCGATGAGTGAGAAAACAGCACCCCGTCAATGCGAGCGAGAACGCGAGTTGCCAGATCATTGCACACAAAACCAACGTGAATTAATTCAAAACAAAAATACTAGCGAACCTGGCGGTGAGGGGCGGAAGGTGGACTAGAATTCTATTACAGAGAACCACATTATTTTAATTAATTTCTTCGGAGAAAGTCGTCTGTAACTTCGTTTGTGTTATCGTCGAACTTCGGACTGAAATTGATCACAGAGTTTCGTGATTGTGTTTTTCGGCGATATTGATATACCTAACCTCGAAAACTGAAGCTTAAGATCCAACTACAGACCCAGGTACTCAAGAAAACGGAACATCCATGAAAGTGGTCAATTCGTAGAAATGATCGAAATATCGATCTTCGTATGCTCATATTATAAAAGTTGCGCACCAAAATGCATAAAGGCATGCCCATCTGGATTATTAGATTACATATTTTAGCTTATGAATTTATCAAAACATGTTGAAACCTTTAAGAAGTTCTGATTGATAGAAATGTCGGGAAGTTAAAAGATCTTTAAGCAAGGCAATCTAATAGATTTCAAGAAAATTCACTTCAGCGAATATCAAGAGCTTCAGGGCAGTTCCATTAAATTCAGGAAAATTTAAGCTTGAGACCTATGAGTAAGTTACGCGAGCTTCGGGTAAGTTCTGAAAAAGTTAGGGCTGTTCCATGAATATCAGGAAAACTGTGAGAACTTGTGGGACGTTCATAAAACTTTAGGTTCGTTTCGAGAACTTTATGGCAGTTCCATTTATTTCAGTAAAATAAAGGAAACCATCAAGAAGTTTCGAAAATTTAAGGATAGTATAAAAAAAACTTCAAGGAATGAACTTAAACACATTAAGAAAGCTGCACAGAAGATCCATGTTAAAAGGGAAGTTTAAAAATCTTCTGGGCAGTTCCCTTAATTTCTGAACAATTCCAGGAACATCATCATGAGTTTTATAGGCAAACTGTGGGTACAAAAGGTAAGTTCTGAAAACCTCTTGAATTTTTATTTGAACTTCAGGCAAACTTCAGGATTTTCAAAGTGGTTCCAAAAACTTCAGGAAACTGCAGGAACATTTAAGAAAATTTGAGAAATTCAGGGATATCCAGAGAACTTAAGGGAAATCAAAATAATTCCAGAGGTGTGGAG